TGTATTGTATCAGTTATTCACATATGGTGTATATGTGTTGCTGAAAGCAAAACCTTGTACACTTTTCAGAAAGGCGAGTTGCTGGGTTGCAAAATCTAAAGCTTCTTGTTCATAGAAGATTTTCCTGATGTGACACCATCTTGTATGGGTGTTTTGTGGAGATGTTTTTTCTTTTAATTGTGGTTGTTTTGTTTTTTGGTTTTTTTTCAGTACAAATTTATGCTTTCTCTCCTTTGCTGCCTCTTGTGCGACTAGCTCTGTGGGGGGAAAACCAAAAATAAAAGCCGCTTTATACTGGTCTGTGATGAGGTGAATAGGCTTTGGATGATCTGCTTCAAAAGAGCAGACATAGAGAAATAAGAGCAAGTAAAATCAGTTGCCCAAATAAGCTTGAGAACTTGAATATAGATATGACTTGTAATTCTTGTAAGTTAAAGAGAAAAATAGGGATTTAACCCTTTCCTAGAATATCTGGATGAATAACCCTTCATAAAAAGAGGTTAGAAATAAGAACTGGAATGAGATGCAGAAAAAGACTCGGTTAAAGCTGTATGTTAGGTCAGAATGGTTGTAGATAAAGTTTGATCTAACTAGTTTGAATTTCAGTAACACTTTCTATTGAGCTATACAAGCAGTTAGTATAGATGAGTTGAGTAGTATTCTCATCTACAGTTAGATAAGAATTAGAGATTCATAAAAATAAATACATTGTAAGACCTGTGTAGCCCTTGCTATGAGGAGAGTACTAGAGAGGTGATACCAGAGCAGATGATACTGCTGGTTTCTCCAGGATTGTTCTTGACAGTTGGTGACTGAGAAGTGACCTTATCATAAAAAAAGGCAATGCATGCTGATAAAATGTGCTGATGGTACAAAATTTAAAGGCATCTGTTATGCTTTAGAGGCTGTTACTGAAGAACTACACAACCTTGAGGATTTGACTTACTCAACAAAGTAGCATGAAGTGCAAGGTGTCATAAGTATGAATTATTTCAAAGAACATTTGCAGGAGGCTGGGAGCTCCTACCTCCTTTCATCACTTGGAAATGCAGAGGCTTAGGAAGAGGTAAGTGGGTTTAGCTGGTAACAGCTGAGTTTGAGCCATGAGGCTAATTGAATAAATAGAATTTGAGAATGTATTGGACTATCTTTATTCTTAGTCGAGGGTGACAGTGATGTTAGATACTGCGAAGAGATAATTTTAAGTGCAATATGTATTTTTCTGGCTGATTAAGGTCAAAAGTAATGAATCCAATGTGGAGCAAGTACAGAGAAATTACCCAAGCTCCAGCTTATGGCGAAAAGAAAGGACTTTGGTCTGCATGGCTAGACAGTCTGGAGACTGAGACAGGATGGTTGTGATTGGTGTTTGGAAATGTGAAAAACTATTAAAAACAAAACCCAAACTAATTCAAGTGGTTATGGAAGCGGAAAGTTCTGTAATCATTACATCTAAGTGTTCCAGAATTTGTTTTTGATTTGCCACAATGCGTTCTGTGACGCACTTTGAAGATCTGTCTCACTGTCAAACCAGGTGATTAGCTTTATCCATTTGCAGCAGATACTGCTATTCTATTCTGTGGTTTCTAGCAATGTTTGGTGTGCCCGGTTACATGAAGGCTCTTTTATTGGTTCCCTTTATTTTAATATTGGTAGGAAAAAGCTATAGGCTAAGTGTAAAAGCTTGTGAAGAGTAAAGCCCGCAAAATTGTAGTAACACAATCTCTGGAAGACATTTAATCTATTCAGTCATTTAGAGAGGATATTTATAAAGCTGTTTATTTATTTTGGCTCTGTTGGAAGTATCTACAAAAATAAACAAAAATAAATTTGGAGAGAATCCTTTCCAGATGTGATCTTGGAAAAATGAATGGGAATTGGCCACTCGTGTATATCCAAATTCAAGCAGTTCATTATGTATCTGAAGGCCTAATCTCTCCATTTTTGAAACAGAGCAGGTTATTAAAAAGAGGTCAACTGGTGGTTGTCATTAAACAAAGGTTGCCAGTAGTTTAAGGTTCTCACTTCAAACATGTGGCCTCCTGAGAAGAAAATTCAGACTTTCTTACAGAGCAAAAGAGCTTTTTTTTGTTAAATAACCACTGCCTCCTGTTGCTCAGAACAAAATTCAGGAATGTCAGCTTTTAAATTTTAAAACTTTACAAAATAATTTACAGAAGTTCTGATTTGGGAAGGAAAAGGGGTGCTTTTTTTTTTATATAAGAAGTGATTTCACAAGGAACTTGGAGTAGGAACTATTGGTAATAATTTTAGTTATATTAATTCCATCTATTATTGAAAAATTAACATTTCAAAATGGCTGCAAAATTTTGATTGTAAAAAAAAAAAAAATCAAAGAGGAGCAATTCTCCCCTGCTTCTCAGGACTTCCAGGAACCATTCTCTTCCTGCTTTTCTGGAATTCTTAGCACAAAATACCTGGTACAGTGTTCTTTTGTGTTGTTTTGTAAAACTGCAAAAGCCTAATATCAGAATCCCAAGAGCCTGACACTGTAAAAATGAAGCTGTGAGAGTTCTGAAAGTCTAAGGAAACTGTGGTGCCATGGTGTAATTGACTTTAATATACAATTGTGATAGAGGTTTGAGGGGAAAAGGAAAAATAGGGGATGAATACATACAGCCAACAGATCTCAAAGAGCTGCTGGCAAATAGCTGCTGTTTTTCTCCATATAAACAACTCAAGTACACTGTGACTTTGTCTTTGGAGGTGCAACACAGAATTCTTTTAGGCCGCTAAAACTGGGATTGGTTTGTGATTTACTCAAATGCTTTTGTAATGATGTAATGCTTAGATTCCTGTGGCTAGTGAATGGAACTAAAAGACTTGTTTGGATGGATTAGGCATGCACAGCACTACAGCATGTTATCTCAAACTGTTAACACAGTAGGTATGAAAACGTAGACTGATAATTATCTCCCACAAGGAAAAATACCTGATGCAAGTGTTAAGGTTATTTTTATTCATGAAGGACTCTCAGAGAAAACTGTTTTTAAATATTGACCAAAGAGCATTCTGTGGACCATGAGGAGAATCACTACAGCATGATTAGGTCCCCAGTTTTGTTATTTCTTATAAATGTTGTCCTTAGAAGCGTTGGTAAGGGCTACTCTGTGGCTAAAGGGTAACTACACTTGCTGGAAAACATGAAGTGCCCTGGTCTGTTTTCCAAGTGGGATATACATTGGCATATTATGTATGTAATATTTAATAGTGTGTAATAGTGTGTAGTAGTGTATAATTCTCATTACATTGAAATTAAAAACTTCTTTTGGTGGAAAAGAGCTTGGATCTCTTGCTGTGTTCCTTTTAATGGTGAAAGAGTGCTGAAACCTGATGTCCTTCTGTTTGTTTCCTGAAACTGACTTTGGATAGATAAATGAATGTAAATTGGGGAAATCCTTGGGACTGGTGAAGTCTTGCCTTATACTTGGAATATTTTTTCTTTGGACTGATTGTGCCAGTGATCAGTTCCTGGGATGATCTGAAAACTGTATGTCTAATAGCTTTCTTTAAAGTATTAGAAACAACAGTGTACTCAAAATTTGCTCCATATGATGGTAGAATCCAAACTGCTTCACAAACACACTGCCCAGAGAATTGGGTAAGTTTCTCTCAAAACTCCTAATTCAGCTGTGAAATTCAAATGCCACCAGGCAAACTAAAATATCTTCTAGACTATCTTCCTCTAGGGGCAGCATGGGTTAATTACGTAGCCTTTGAGATGTGAGAGCAGAATTAGAAGTATAGGTGGGAGATGCTGTGTAAGCTAAATTGAATTGTTAAAGAGAAAATGTTGGCTCAGTGCTTACCACTGGTAACTTAGAAATTTTCATTCCCTTTCTTTATGCTTCTACAAGGTTTGGCTAGATATAAACTGTGTGGTTTTATGCTTATTTAGGCATGAGCCTTTTTCTGTATCAGCAGTGTATTTTCACTTAGCATGAACCTTATCCTCTTAAGAGCAATGACAAGTCTTTTGAAAGGTTTGTTTTATTTCTTAAGGGCAAGATTTGAAGTAATCTTATCCTATTTTTCTTCATTTCATGCCTATTCCCTCTACCTATGACTATTCCAGTTCAATTGTGATTTATATATATTTTTGTTAGCTATAATGGCTCCTTGGTGTTAGATTAAGAAGGTACACAGTAGAGCTTACCTTACATGCACTGAAAGTGACAAGTCTAAGAGCAGCAATATCTAACTGAGAACTTGACAGCGAAGAATAAACAAATACGGCAAAGCAATCCACCTAGGTCCTAGTCGCATGTTTAGGTGAGCCCTCACAGTTTTCTGTGACTGTTCAAATCCAGTGACAAGACAGCTGGAAACTGGATGTTTTTAGGAGTGAACATGTTTAGCCAACTGAGAGAAGAATAAAAATAGAAATTCTGCTTGAGAAAACCTTGGGATTAGGAATAAGGAAGCATGGCAGTTCATGCATGTAGTTTCCTAGTAGGAGAAAATTGAAGAGGTTTGCTTGCCACATCTATCAAAAGGAAATAGTAGTCTGCACACTGATGAGTGGCAGCAAGATCCTTAAGAGGCTGAGATGTGAATAATTCAAGAGAGTAGGACGTGTGGGTTCTGGGGAACAGCTAATTTCAAGAGGAAATGGTAGACAAAAAGTTTACTTTTATTGTTAGTGGTATTTGATATATTTTGGCTTTAATAGAAACTGAATCTTTGTTAAGGATCTTTCATTCTTCATGCCTGGGCATGGTTTATTGGCAAAGAAAAAAAATTGAGGTAACAGCACTTTCTGATGCCAGAGAAAACCCTGTCAGGGGGGTGGTGTGACACTTGTACTATATATACAGGAATATAAGGGATGTAGGAAGAAGACATTAGTTGTGGAGATAGAAAAAGAATAGGTGAATAAATAGGAATATGTAGAATTTGAAGTATTTGTTGCCTTTAAAAATATCGCATTTTGTTTTAATGTTACAAATACTGAGTAACTTTTCTTTTGCTTTTAACAGACTCTGAAGGCAGATCCAGAAGAATTGTTTACAAAACTGGAGAAAATTGGTAAGGGTTCTTTTGGTGAAGTTTTTAAAGGAATTGACAATCGGACTCAGAAAGTGGTTGCTATAAAAATTATTGACCTGGAAGAGGCAGAAGATGAAATAGAAGACATCCAACAAGAAATCACAGTGCTGAGTCAGTGTGACAGTCCATATGTAACTAAATATTATGGATCCTATTTAAAGGTAAGATGCCTACAGATGATGGTGGTTTGATTTTATAAGTAGTTCTTTCCCAAGTTATCCAGTCATGCCTGTTTTCATTGGCAAGGCTTCAGTCAGACCTCAGTTGAAGAAAAGTGTATTTTTGTCCTTTCAGTTTTACGGAAAGAATGAGATACTGTGTTTTGTGAAGTATGTGACAGAACTTAATAGAAACAAACAAACAAAAAAAAAGACATGTGTCCTTTGCTGTTTCTGTACAAAAAGAAATCAAATAACATCAGTTTGTTAAGCTCTAGAGTAATCTGTTTAGATTCTCTTAATATTAGGAGAATGTTACTCTAACTATTGTTTAAATTCAGAAAATATAACCTAAGTCTGCATTTACTTTGAACTGTCAAAACCATTGAAAAACAATGTAGTATCAACTGTTTTGTGAATCTTGAAGTTTTTCATCAAGGCTTGATCAGTAGCAAAGCTTAGGTTGCCTTTCAAAGGAGAATGCGCCAAGCCTTGATCTGAGTGATGTAAAAATTAAAATCTAAAAGTTAATTTATTTGCACATTTGCAAACAGCACGTTGGCTGTAAGTGAAGCTAATAGGAGTTTCCATTAACTGCCTTCTGAATCTGTTTCCTTTCCTTCCCCCTGCTATATTATTTAATTTCAGGGCTCAGTTTTAAGTATGCTAGATAGACGTGTGTTGTGGTTTTGTTTGTTTGTTTTTAATTGGATGGATATAGCAATTTATTACATCTGGAGAGTATTGAAAATATCTGGAAGCTTTTGGTACTACTGTATTTCTTTGGTCAGACTGTCGCCATCTGTATAGCTCTTTCTGCTATGACAGTGAGATGGCAATCTTGATAAGAGATTATTCTCATGATAGGGTTTGAAGTTACAAGTCGGCTGAAAATATTTTAACTTTCAGTCTGCTTTTGCAGAAGCATTCTGTTCATCAGCAAATCCATGAAGGTTTTGAAGGGGTCCCTATTTTATCTCTGGATTTCTGAGATTCCCAGAGAGTTTCCAAGTTAAAAATGGACTTTTTTTTTCTGAGTCCGGGAGATGTATTAGTGAAGGGACGTATAGTTTTTCCTTTCTTTGTTGTGCTCTGAAACATTTTGTCTCTGAAGGCTTTGTCAGTGGTTTCAGACCTGACAACTGTTATCAGTACTGGACTTAGAAGTTTATAGCCTAGATCTCAGAAGCATCAGGAGGCGCATAATTGAGCACAGTAAATCGGATATATTTTTCATCATGGCTTTTATTACTACCTTTGAAATTTCTCAGTCTAGGTTGATAGTTAAATATGGCGAAAAAGGTATTTCTCTCCTGGACTGTGTCTCTGCTTCAAATCTGTTCCTTTTAGAGGGGAAACAGTAAGAACTTGTAGGATAAGTGAAATAGAATATAAGAAAAATTGTTTAATGGGAAGGCCACTTGTTTTTAAAATGTATAATAGCAATATAATCTTAGAATCATAGAATAGGGTTTACACTTAAACAAGGGAAGTTCAGGTTAGGTATGAGGAAGAAGTTCTTTATTGTGAGGGTGGTAAGGCACTGCAACAGGTTGCGCAAAGAAATGGTAAATGCTCCAGCCCTGGCAGTGTTCAAGGCCAGGCTGGGCAGAGCTTTGGGCAACATGGTCTAGTGTGGGGCATCCTGCCCATGGCAGGGAGGTTGGAATTAGATGAATTTAAGGTTCTTTCCAGAGCCATTCGATGATTCTAGGATAATATTGTTGAAAAAGAGAATCCAGTGTCCAAATTTGAGCTAAGTGAATGTGAACAAGTTATGAACGTAGTATGGCAACTGCTGCTTTTCCTAATTGAAGGAGAGTCGTGACTGTAGGACTTGGTAGCCTGTATGGGTTTGGCTTGATGGAAGTGGTAGTGATATTTGTGATTATTGTTGTGAGGAGGACCCTCTGAAAATACTTGTGCCTTTTGCATCCCTTCAGTCAAGTGCCTGTGAATTTTCCAACCTGTGTCAATTTTCTTAGATATTGCACTAACAGTGGCTGTGTAGGACTCCGGAAGAAAAGTACAGCTCTTTTTATACCTAGTAGAATGTACTGCTACTCATGTTTACTTATTGCTTCAGTTCTTTGTGGATGTATGTTGTTTTGCAAGACACTTTGTACTACAGAACTTTTGCTCTTCAAAACAAAATCTCATTTCTTTATGCTGTTAAAAATTAATATGTGCTGGTTATTAGGTCATGCTGAAGTGACAGAATCTTTGCCAAGGAAACATTTTGCAGGTCTCTTAACTTTCTAAAGAGTTAGGTCTTGTTATTGGATAGTAATAATGTGTCATTATATATATATATATATACACACACAGACTCACACTTAAAAAGGGCATTATTAATGTTTAATTGGTTAATATTCTTGGCTAGGAATCTAGGTTTATTTGCTGCAGATCTTTGTTGTATTTGCAAGCCAGGACTGCCATAAGGGTCTGAGGGCTTCTAAGGACCTGACTGTCGTTTAACTCTTTCTGACAGTGTGATAATCCATCACCAAGAATGTTCAACAGATTAGTTTTCCACATCCTGAGAGATTAGGAGACATTATTTCTTCCATAATTGGACATTTTAGCACTAATTACAAGTATGATATTCATATTTCCTCAGAGAATGAACTTCTTTGAAGTAAGCAAGGGGGAAAATGGTAGGAGCTTAGGTTATATTGCCAGCCACTGCAGTGATGATTATTCTCTAAAGCCTGTGCAGTGTGATGTGTGCTGTCCATGTGTCTGGTGCATCTTAGATAGAAAAACGTTTCTGTTTATAGAGAACTCTTATATTGATTTTCTTTACATTATTTTTGGCAGACAAATAGCAATTCCAATAACAATTTCAATTGTTCTAATTTTTTTCTTTCTGGCTCTAGATCAGTCTTTTTTTTTTTTTCCCCTAGGTTTACTGCATATCCTTTTGTGAGCTGAAGAGGTGTCTTTTACTATATAATAACTTTTTTCTACATATTCCCATGTCAGTTGTGAAGTAGGAATATCTTTTGTGAGACCTTTTTGGTATTTGTTTGCTATAACAAGTTTCAAGGTGCTGGAAAAGAAAAATATCTCATTTGGGATACTGCAGACCTGATGATTAATACTTCATGTCCCTTTTGAGAACAAGTTTATGTAATTGCTGAATACTTGCTCTGGTATCCTTTAAAATAATCGTCAGATTTTAAGAGGCATTCTATATTTTCAACAAAGGTGGTTAATAGGCTTTGCCAAGAAGGTGTTTGTATCTTTAAAGATCTTTTAGGTAGCCAGAACGTTTTGTGGTTGATTTATTTTTTCCTTTTTTTTTTTTTTCCTTTTTTTAACACCTGAATCATCTATCTCTGGTAAATCCTTGTATTGTTCTTCGTTCTCTGTTATTTCATACCTGCTTCAATTAAGCTACGAGATTATACATGCCAGTTAGAATGGAAATATTAGAGTGCTTATATAATACTGCTGTACTTGCCTGAGGCCTCTCACTGTCTTCAGGTGATGTTCATGAGAACAGCTTGTCAAGCTGTTGGTGTCTACTGCATGATACTCATGGAAGTACAACTTGAAATGAGCGTTATCATTTGATGGGTTAATGCATTTACTTTATCCTAGAAATTTACATTAAAAAAAAAAACTCTCAAAAGTAGCTAAAAATTAGGGTTCTGTACCCAAAAGCCTTGTAATTTTTTTTTACGCTAAAATTTTGTGTATATCCTAATTAATTCAGAATTATTTATTTATTTATTCATTTTCAGAGACTAATCCATATCTGTTACTGCTTTAACACAGTGTGTCTTGAATAAAAAACAGGTTATTGCTCACATAAATCAAGCCTTCCATTCCCTTTGGACTTCGTTCTTTACAACTTTTGTTGGAGACGTGTGGGCAATTGCTGTGGTCAGAGCTAATTCAAATGAAGTAATAAGCAGTAGTGAAGTGGGTACCAATTTAGGAAGTTGCGGTTGTCATCTTGAATATAAATCAATTTGCAGAACATGTTTTTGTCAGAAACAAAATAGCTACATAAGACAGAAATGCAAATTCTCCTCTCTAAACCACATTTTAAAACATGACATTCTCATGTTTCCATTCTGTTGGGCCAAAGGACGTTTGTATACTGTAGGAGATAGTAAGTAGCCAGAATGTTGCTCTTAAGGTACATTGCAGTGACATGGTTTATATGGGTGCATATCTAGAGGAATTGCTCTTCCTTATCTGTGGTGTGTTAAAAACCTGTATCAGTGCTCCTTAATGAACTAAGCTTAACAAAATAGGTAGTGAATCTGTTATCTCTGTGCTCTGGGAATCATCTTATCCATGCTGTCTTCCAAATGAAAGGTTTATCTGTTCCATCTGTGATCTGATTAAATGCTTCATGGATAGACGAATTAGAACTCTTTTCAGATCCTTACAAAATTCTTTAATGAAACTTCTCTGGGTCTGTTTACAGCTTTGGGTTTTTAGGTAACGGCATCCATTGCCTCTTTTATAATCGAACAAGGATTCCTTGTGATTCTTCTTAGATTTATTTTATTTTAATTATAAAATTATCTGAAGTCTTTTTCTGTCTCTTCTGAGTTTTGCCATACTGTAACTCTTTAAAAATACTGGTATGCTACCTATTCCAACAGGTTTTCTGTCAGCTCTTCTTTTTGCATTTTTTTTTTTTCTGCTTTACCAATTTTTCAAGAGCTTCATTAGATTTGGTTCTGAAGTTGTTACTCTTGTCCTCTTTAGGTCAAGCTGTTTGGAATCTGGTTTGTTTTCAAGATTCAGATGCCTCTCTGATAACTTTCTTCCAGTTTCATTAATAAGTCTAATTACTGTTTTATTATAGCTTCATAACATTTTCATTTCTTTGATCTTTTATTACTATTTAGAAATAGATGAGGAAATTAATTTGTCTTTCAGTGGTTGAAGAATAAATTTCTTGGCTTTTTTAATGTGTATATATATATATGTCATGACATACATGTGAAGAATAAAGGATCTTGGCTTTTTTGCATACA